CCGTGATCTATGAAAACCAGAAAATTGTTAATAGTCTGAATTTTTGCACAGTCAAAAATAAAGCAGAAATTCAACAAGCGGTCGCAAAAGCGAGCGATTGAAAAGCAGAAGCGGGCGAGAGGTTCGGCGAAATGAGTTCTGTACTTCTTTGTTTAATGAAGCTATGCTGATGCCACATTGTCGCCATAATGAGGGGACAATGAAGCGAAGCGTTAACCGCCTAACTTTTTAATGTCGCGACATTGAAGCGATGCTGAAGCCATAACAATGCCATAATGATGCAATGCTGAAGCGAAGGTGAAGCTGAAGTGAAGCCAAAGCTTTCGCGAGAACTGTACTGTATGTTGTAAATATTTCAAGTAATTACCATGGGTGCTGCAACTAAAGTGTTGTATTAGCAAAACTGAGCTGAATGTATAATCTAATACTTCTGGCTAGGTTGCTTTTTGGTTCACATTCTCAGTTTAACCCTACTCTGACAGCCATTTTTAATTGAAAATTGGTCAAAATACCTACAACTGAGCTTCATAATTCAAAAACAAGTTACCACTTCCAAACAGCAAGGCATGGTTGATAACTTGAGAAAGTTTCATGAAATTTCTTGGTCATAAGTGTCCATTCTTAAAAATGAGATTTGAAGTATATAAAGATGATAATTATGTGTGGATACTAATTGTTAATGATGTCTATTAACACTGTTAATTGGCACAAGTGTTGAATGACACATTTATGTCATATTTCAACGCTTACCATTTGTTGACATAGAATCTCATCACTGGCTTTATGATATCTGGTACAGCCTGGCTTTATGATATCTGCTATAGCCTGGCTTTATGATGTCTGGTACATCCTGGCCCTATGATGCCTGGTACAGCCTGGCACATTGATGTCCAGCAGTCCTCTGGATGTAGCAGTTCTCAGTATCTGGTTTAGCCCAGACCATTGATGTCTGGTATAGCCTGGCTCATTGTTGTCCTTGGTCTGGTATGGCCTGGCTCAGTGATGTCCATTACAGACTTGCTTTGGAATGTCCGGTACAGCCTGGCTCAGTGATGTCTGGTACAGCCTGGCTCAGTGATGTCTGGTACAGCCTGGCTCAGTGACGTTTGGTACAGCCTGGCTCACTGACATCTGGTACAGCCTGGTTCACTGGCATCTGGTGCAGCCTTGTTCACTGGCGTCTGGTGCAGCCTGGTTCACTGACGTCTGGTACAGCCTAGCTCAATGATCAAAAGTACTTAACCTTTGTGATAACCTTCATATCTCTCCCAGGAGTCCTCAAATTAGTAGTACATCAAATTAACATACAAGTTGCATGCTATGTACTCTAGTCTGAATTGTTTTACTTCTTGATTGCAGATAAGAGTATCATCAATGAACTTCGTCAATTGAGACTATCGATTAATGACTTTGAGGTCAAAAATGTCATTGGTCGGGGTCATTTTGGAGAAGTTCAAGTTGTCAGAGAAAAGTCAACAAGTGATGTATATGCTATGAAAGTACTGAAGAAAAACGAGACACTGTCTCAAGAAAATGTGAGTACACCGAGGCAGTTATAAGAACACATGGTTTGCGCTAGTGTCTCGACAAGACGAGTCCCACGTAAACAATTTTAAGAAATTGAAATTTTACCCTGGATAACTTTATTAGCGATTGAATCCCAGCCTGCCTGAAAAACTGGGTCCCTCTTCAATAGTTGGAGTCCGAGAAGCAAAATACGGGGTTAGCGCAATCCCTGGGCCAACATACAAATCTAGTGGGATTAGTTACTAGATTAGACCAGTCATCTCATGCTGTGATACGTAGCAATAATCTTGTGATGTACAATAAAGCAATAGAAGGTGATTTGATTTTACAAATAGTAATACTGGTCAGTTAGTTTATTAATTTGTTATCACAAGTTGTTCATCATTTTATACAAACATTTTATACAAACCATGATGCGAATCTTGTATTTAAAGCGGGGGAGTCGCCACCTGCGTCAGATGGCCATAGCGTGTCATTGTTTACAAACAAGCGTCTACCCATGAGCCTTTGCATTTTTAGTGTGTGTTGTTATTGTTGCTTGGGACTCAATTCCCACACATGCGCAGGGGATGACCCTCCCGCTTTAAGAAACAATCGTGTGTTCAAAAGATGATACAATATTTTGTTTTTTATTTTCCACAGATTGCTTTCTTTGAAGAAGAGCGTGACATCATGGCTAAAGCCAAGAATGCCTGGATAACGTCATTACAGTATGCATTCCAGGATGCCAAGAATCTGTATTTAGTTATGGAATTCCATCCTGGTGGTGATCTATTGTCTCTTCTCAGCAGATATGATGATATTTTTGAAGAGTCAATGGCTAAGTTTTATTTAGCTGAAATGGTTGTTGCCATACATAGTTTACACTCCATGGGATATGTGCACAGGTAAGGTTTCTGTACATCTAAAAAATGGCGTCAGTCACATGTGGATCTAACAACTGCTAACTTTGGGTGGGGGGGGGGGGGGTTAGTGTGTGAAACGAATGCTTGGTAGTTTGTATAAAGGCATTCTATATTTAAACTTTGATTTTTCGTGTCACAAAAACACAATGCAGTTTTATTAGTGAAATTAAGGTAAATTAAAGTTTTTTACAATGCAATCTAACATATGTTAGATGGAAAATGATTGATTGCTTATTTAGTGTTAAACAATTTCTTTATATACTCTGGGAGGTAACTATACACGTTTTACTATATGTTATTACCACTTGTCTATAAAAAAAAAAAAAACATTTTCCTGGGTGGTCACCATACACAGCTTTGACTATATGTTATCTACATTATTACCGCCTGTCGATAAAGAACATTTTCTTTTATAAGTTCCCTGGGTTGTCACTATACACAAGTTTGACTATATATTATTATTGATTTATTTCTTGCAGGGACATCAAACCAGACAATATTCTCATTGATAGAACTGGTCACATCAAACTTGCTGACTTTGGATCATCTGCTAAACTCTCCTCCACCAAAACAGTAAGTTACTACAAGTATAGTTTGGTCAGTTTGCCATCACTCAAACAATTCACTAATTTATGTATATATAAAGGACATATAAACTCTGACATGATGTCCTTTTGTTATTGACATACTACAGTTTTTGCATATTATGGGATAGTTGGGGTTAGGTCGCATGTCTGCCTGCAGTGGCGAGGTGCTTGTCATGATTGAATCCTGTGTTTCATATTGTAATATATGCATGCTCGTTTTTATTATGTAGTCCCAAATACCATATTGGCTCAATCAGAAGCGTATCGCTAAAAGAAGCACATTTAAATTGAAAACTGTATTTATTGTATATTTGATCATTAAAATATGATCAGAGACATCGCTGTTGTTAACATACACTCATGGGCTACAAATAGAGCAGCTTGATGCGACGCTGATAGAGTTTTAGGTGTGTAAGTTGGTTTGCTTATTAAACTGAAAACAAAGAAAATACATGATGCTTTAATGTGATTAAAATGATATAACCTTGGTATGTTATCGTGTTCGTGTAGGTCACGTCGAAGATGCCGGTCGGTACGCCAGACTATGTTGCACCAGAGGTTTTAACAAGTATGAATGGCAAGACTGAAGGTAGCTACGGATTGGAGTGTGATTGGTGGTCTCTGGGTATCGTGGCGTACGAGATGTTGTTTGCGAAGACACCGTTTACAGCCGATTCTATTGTTGTGACGTACAGTAATATTATGGACTTTAAGGTAAAGCAGTATTGAGGATTGTCATTGATATTGGGCATTATTATACATCTGCCAGTGATTTAGCCATCTGTTGATTCTTTACAGTTTACAGATACGTTAAAAATTTACAGATATGTTCAAAAGTTTACAGATGCGATCAAAAGTTTACAGATGCGATCAAAAGTTTACACATGCGATCAAAAGTTTACAGATACGTTCAAAAGTTAACAGCTACGTTCAAATGTGTCCAAACATCTTCCTTATTTGAAAAACGTGCATCATATTTACATCACGTTTGAACACTTCTTTTTAGCTTCGCTGTCGACTTTGTCGAGCGGAGCTTATCATATGAGTGATTGTCCGTCGTCGTCCGTGTCAATGTTTTACTTTTTCGACTTCTTCTTGAAAACTACGAGCCAGAATGCTTTGATACTTGGTGTACCTTTGGTAGACCTCTCTCAGATTTGTTCATTTTGTAATGATATCTTCAATTCTCTAATTTTAATGAATATTTTTGTCATTTTTGGTAAAAAGTGATATTTTCGACTTCTTGTTAAAAAACGCAAGTCCAATTGCTTTGATATTACATATATAGGTACTACATGTGGACCTCTCTCAGATTTGTTCATTTTTAGTCCCCGTTCGGACGTAGTCCGAAAACGGGGACTTATGTTTTGTCCTGTGTGCGTCCGTGCTAGCGTGCGTCCGTGATCACCTGTATCTCGAACATGCATGGACCGATTAAGTTCAAACTTCACTCATACATCACACATTATATGGGACATATGC